AAAAAGTATATAAAATATCTTTAAACTTTTATTTACCTAGTAAGCACGTTTTTAGATGGGAGGTGTATTATTCTTGTGTGTTGGACCAGGAACCTAAATCCAGAGAGGGTAAATGAATTGGCACTTGCCACACAGCAGTGAAACTGAACTAGAACCCAGGGTTCCCATTTTAATACTTTGGTAAAATTCAGAGGAAAAATAAATGTCCCATCTATTTACACATTCTTTTTTTTTTTTTTTTTTGACAGTCTCTTCAACAGGCCACACTTACGAGGTGTCTCATATCCCCTGTTGCTGGTGGCTGGAACACAATGGATCACACAGGGGCACTAGACACCGAGGATGAGTTGGGACCTTTAGCCCATCTTGCTCCAAGTCCTCAAAGTGAAGCCGTTGCCCACGAATTACAGGAACTCTCCTTGCAGTCCAGTCAGCACCTGCCCCCTCTGAATGAAAGGAAGAATGGTGAGTTTTTCGGCCTGTGCAGTGTGAACTTTGATTTAAATACGTGCCTCTTTGGGGGCCAAGTGTATCCCTCTTTGGTAGAAATGCTTTTGTCAGTTCCATTTGGCAGACTGTCACAGAGGTGAGAACCTCAGCGAGTGCTTGCTAGTTTTGAGTAACAGGCAGAATTTAACTTTCCATCCAATTCTTTCATTATTTCTCCAGTAAGTATCTTTGGTAGCAACATTATCCTTGGAAATAAGCTTTAGGTTCAACCATAGCACAAGCAGAAGATTTCACACTAGATGGCTTTGGGAAGTAGCTTCCTGTGCTGATTCCAGGGAAAATAGATTGTGGATTTGACAAGATTTTCCTCCCATGTTCCCCATCTCCAGTGTGTTGCACCTTAATTTCAAAATTGGCAAAATTTGAGCTATCTTAATGCTGACTGAGAAAGCAAGAATTTCTTGTTTGAATATTTTTTGTATTAATGGGTATAGGATACGGCCATATTCTCAGTCTTTGACTGGCTCCTACTTGTTCACAAAATGAATATTTTCTGTTCATTTGTTTTCTGCTCAGGAAGTTCTCATTGATTATACAGGCATCCCAGAGTCTCCAGAAAACTCAATACTGTCAGTTTTTCACAAAAATGAATAGAGCTAGATGATATACGCTAATTTTTTAATACTTAAAACGTAAAAACTAATAAAGTATTAAAATTTACAAACACACGAAGCACACATAATAAAAGAGCAGAATGAAGGATTTCAATTGGATTTGTCATGCTTTCTGTGGTTCTGGTGAATCTTACATCCACAGATACATATTTTGTTATTTCAGTTTTAAAAGCTGGAAGAAATAAAACTGGTTCCCTACAGAACATTTCCTTATGTATCTTGTTACTTATCTTTTCTGGGTTCTAAGTATTTCCTAATCCTTTTCATTATTGGCCTTATCTTATTCAGGAAAATGGATAAAAGACTATGCTGTTACTCTCGGTTCTTTAGCACATGTCTTTGGATTATGCTTGTTCTCCTTTCAGACAAGATATCTGATTCTTGTCTCTGATGCTTATCAGGCACAACCCTTGTCCGGTTTGATTGTTATAAAGCGACACTCAGCTAGGGGCTGTCAAAGCCTTCCGGAGGCTCTAGTTTGCTGGTGATGGCTGTAGAACTGGTTGGGAGCCTAGCTTTACCTTAGGCAGTGGTGGAGAGAGTGTAACTGCATTTACTGAAATGTGACTGGATTGCTCAGATTTACACAGTTTACTTGGACTGATATAATATTCAAATCATAGCCCTCAAAAAAGAATAAGAGTTGAACTGGTATAAAACTGCAATAATATACAGTTACTTAAGAAAATGGTCACATAGAGCCGAGGAAGGAAGTATGGCAAAAGGTCATGCTTTGTGGTGATTTTACTTGATGCAGCTTACCATGTTCTCTTGCAAGAATGTTCTCTTGAATATGTGTGCCTGAACATAAGGTAAGCCCAAATATGTAGTAGTCTTTCCCTTAGAAGCTTTTAGGGAGGTAGATGAAATGGTAAAATTTTAAATTTACTAATTTAGTTACAGGTACATAATTGGAACCATATATTATGAAGGAGTGCAATAACAGGGAAAGATTGCTTTATCCACACTCATATTTCATAAAACTGTCTACCCAAACTCTATCTGTGAATCTTTGTGGTGTTTTATCATCAGTAGATCCCCTTTGCATCATCCACCTAGCACTGAAATCCAGAGCGTACCTTCATTTCTGCCTCTCTTGTTTGAGTTACTGTAGTTTTTGAATACATGCGCAATCTGACACTGAAGATTTTATATCTAACCCACAAGTACCATTTGCAAAACAGTGGGACTGTTTTTGGTTTTTAGCGTATCTTATAGTGTTGTACTCTTAATCACTCATGTTTGATTTGTGGTGATTGTAACATTTTATGAGGCTATAATTTCTGTTACAGAATTTAGTCTTTTTTTTCTTCTTTTTTTGGGGGTTGGGGTGGGTAGGTAACACATTTACCAGCTTAAAATGTAAAGAGGGTACAAATGGGTACACAGTGAAGATTGTTGTCCCTTAGCTGCCCAGTTACTTCCCCAGAATCAACTGCTGGTACTTGTGTTCTTTCTGAGAGAATAGTGTTTGACTCCTTTTTTAAAAGCAGTGTTTAAAAGTCTTCTTTGTAACAACATCCAACACTTTCAATTTTAAGGTTATTACCTGGGAATAATTAATGTGTTGGTTCTTTTCTCCCTTTTTCCCCCCTGATACTATTAAGACATTTCTGTAAACATCCTAACACTAGCTTCAATTGAAGTTGATTTTTAAGCCAATGCGTTTTCCTGAAGAACTTTTTTGTTCAATATTAAGTAAACAAAAGAGCATCTCATAATATGGAATACTGGGAAAGGATTCAAATATGAGACAGTGTTGTTTTCTAATAAGTGACCTCAGGAAGTTAAAAACCTTACCTTATATTCAGGCATATTACACTCTAATTTCAGGCTTATGATGTATTAGCCTAATTTGCATATACATACCCAGTCATAAATGGAATTGTTGCACAGCGATCAGAAATCTGGGTTTTTGATACAGAAATGTGAGTAGAGTAGAACCACATCGAGCAATCTGTAGGTGCAAGAACCACAAATTTCTTACCTTAGTGAAATTTTTTATATTTATTCTTCATCTTTTCAGGTCTTCTCAATGCCATGTTTGAATCATCTCATGTACAAAATGTCGATGTTGGCCTCAAAATTAATTTCTGCAAAGTACTATTTAGATATTATGAAATAATCAAATGTAGATATTTTCTTGGTGACTATGTTTTATTGTTATTGCCAAGCATTTTAATTTCACTAGTTAAATTATTTTCTGTTGGGGAGGAAATGATGATATTTCAATTTGGGATTAGTGTATAGAAGGGTTGTATCACCATATAGTTTATAAATAAACTTTACAAGAAAGTGAAGTAGATATTTAAGTACAGTAATGATTCTAGGACCTACCTTTATTTTTAATTAATACATACATTGGCAGTGGTAGTGGAGTGACAGAGTATTCCCACTACTGGAGTAAATGTGAAAGATGTTTAGAAAAGATAAGCTAGGGTTTTCCTTTACCTCTGAATGTGGCCAAAATAATTCTCAAAAATAATATTTTTAGTGGCACCTCAAAAGTAAGACAACCATTTAGGCTACTCTTCCCAGTAAGATAGTCCTTCATAAAGGAAAGAAGATATACTTTTACTAAATAATGTACCTTTACTGAAACAGTGCATACACTGGGAAATTGAGCTTTTGACATTTTATACACGTAATAGATCCATTTTCATATTTCAATATTAACATGCCTTCAGATGCTTAACACTGAGAATAAAAGGGAAGTCAGTTAGAGGGAGAGTTAGTTCTTTTATTGTTTAAATAGGAAAAGCTCAAGTGCTATAAGGTGAGTATAACTTTATAAAAGTAACGAAAGACAGAGTAGATGGAAACAACATGCCTGAAAGAGCTGCCCACACTTAGATGAGACCATGAGCAAGAAGCTTTTCATTCATCAGCTCATATTTGCAAGGCTGGTAAGTATGTTGGTTGGTGAACTTAAGCTTTCAAGTCATTGCCAGCATTATCATAGAGTAAGGCAGTGAGTTGACACAGATTCCCCTTTTATAAAATAGTTTGTATTTTACTACTTCTTTGCACATTTCTGAAGATGAGGCTCAGTCATGTTGACATGGTCACAGACATGCCACAGGCCAGCTGTCAGTGGTATCAAATAGGTAGAAAATGAGTATCTGCTGCCTTTCTCTTCCTGTGTTAAAAGAATTTTTGAAACTGTGTTTACTATTAATAGTTAGTGTGTTTTAGACCTCCATAAAGAGGAGACACTTACTCGTTATTCTTATTTTAAACTTTGGTGTCATTAGTTACTTTAGTTGCTAGGTTTTTGAGCTTATTGTCCCACCTTGAATTTTTTTAAAGATTTTTCCATCCATTAAATGGATCACACTGAGCAGTTTCAAACATCTCTTGTTCTGTTCCAGATGATCACTTACTAGGCAGAAGATAATTTATTCAGAAGTTTGTTGTACACGAAACACAAGGTGGCTCTTTGCGTTGGCAGGTGTTAATACATTTGCAAGCAGTAGATGAACTTTGCCTAGCCATGGAATGCAGCCAAAGAAAACTGCTTGCCTTGTACCATAGAAAATAAATTGTATATGTTCACAGCTGGTCTTTTCTTTGGGTTTTACTTTGAAACATTCCCCCACATTTCATTAACCTGCTAGACTTACTGTCATTCTAGGTGTTTGGAAACACACAAAGGTGTCGAGCATGGTATTGTGTAAAATTGTGTTCCTTAGAACATGTATGAGCTGGTGTGGACTAATAGAGATTGGTGAGGGGAAGAGAGCATATTTCTGTTTTTCTCTGGAGCAAACAGCTACACCTAAAATGCTCATTGTATCATAAGTGGAAAGGAAATATAGATGCTAAATATCCAAGACATGGAACTGTGAGATTCTTGCTTACCCTTGATATAACTGGAGGCAATAGAAATGAATAATTTTATGTAAAATTGTCTTGTCATTTGGCTTTATTGTTAATGTATTTAGGATCTTGAGTATTTAAAATAATTCTCAAGGATATTAACATTCTTGATACATTTAGATAATTTCTTTTCCTACTCTCAGGAAAAATATTTAGAAGAGAAATACATACTTCTTGAATATAATTTTCTTTAGTTTCTAATATATCTTTAAAATTAGGCTTCAAAACTTACACAAAACAATTAAAAGTTTGAAAGTCAGCTATGAACTTCCTGACAGCTGCAAATGAAATTCTTGATTAATTGTGGCAGCTCTCATACTTCTTGTTTGTGACAGTTTCTTGAACCTTTCAAAATGAAAAAGAAGCCGTGTAAGTAGCTTACGGATGAGAGAGGTACTCTCTTTCACAATGGCCTTTATAAAGTCTCCTATTAAATGGCATGTTTTGTTTCACAGTGTAAAT